TTCGGTGTATTTTTAAACACGGTAAAAGTGGATTTCTGGCGATTTTGTATTTATACACACACGCGCACTGACGACCTTGAGTCGCACAACGCCGCGAACACAACCATTTCAGTGTTTCGATAAAACCGCTAGGCAGGTAGGGTGATCATACACATTATCATACCACAGCGATCGTTACATTTGACAACCGGGTCCCATAAAACCGTTTGTATTATTAATTGTGTCGTCACGATCATAAAGATTACGATTACCATCATTGCAATCACATTCCCAGGTACAATTCACTGTCATAGTGCTTTATTAGTACACTATCTAGCAATAACAATAATAATACAAACGGCCAGCATTGTTAACGTTCATACGCGAACGCAAAGCGCGTATTCTCGCGATTGTTGATATCGTATTTCCGAATAACAAAAACAAACTACCACTTGTACTTTTCATTTTTGGTTAATTCGATTAAAATACGGTCAATAACGTACACTATGACTGGAAAAGCACCGACAGTTAAGCTGGCCCACAATCACAATCACATTCAAATCTAAATTGCAATTTAACAACGCGCAGCGCGAACAACCAGTTCGTTCGTCGCCGATAGCAAAATCGAGCGCGTAGTTCTCGGCCAAAATGACGAAATTTTTAACGACCTTCCATTTCACCTCGCCCGTTCACCGGGCCCTCAACTTCGACTACAGCCCCTCGCACACAACGCAGGACAAGCTGTAGCCCCTTTAAATTCACTCACCGCACCCCCCACCCACAGTGAGGGACACAATGCGGTCCTCAAGGTTTTTAAAAATATTAGTCATACGGCCGAGAAAACAAAAGTCCCCGTGTTATACGATGATAGCGCGAGTCGGGCCAACGACATGTTAGCCACCGTGGGGGAGGGGATACCAGCCGAGACGGCCTACCCGCTTATGGCGATTGACACCGCCGGCGGACAAACCGTTCAGACGCTCCCCGTTCGAACCGTAAACCACCCGAGTTTTGCCAAACAAACACGCCCGCGTAAAATTACAACTCCCGCTGTGGAACTTGAATTTTACAACGGTTTTGTGACGGCATTACTTGACTCACAAGCGCAAAAGTCATATACCACCCCGGCAATAGCCCATAAATACGGAATTGTGCGCAAAGGACCCACACACGCGGTTAGATTAGCAGACGGCCACACGACACCCACCGCCGGCACCGCTACTTTTACCGCGAACATCGCAGATCTGACAATCACTTTTACGGCCGTGATCTTAGACAACCTGTACTGTGACGTACTTCTAGGGCATGATTTTCTGACCGATCAGGAAGTCTCTTGGGATTATGCTGCGTGCACAATACATCTAGGCGCGAAACGACGTACTACAGCGTGCTGGAAAGCAAGCGATCCCCGCACCCCCCACAGCATAGATCTGCCAAACATAGATATAGCAGGCGACCCACACACGCGCGAACTATCATCACAGATAGTGAAAAACTGCGCTACGTTTTTAATGACACGGTGGGACGCACAACGCTTATTGAACACACATCACTCACTTTACTAGTGCCAGCCCGAGAACAGAGGCTGACACCACCACCCTTAGCATCAAACATGGAGGAGACACCGTTTTAACTACAGATACAGCAGCAGTAGCACAATAGCAGCGACAGTACAGTAGCGGCAACAACAACAGTAATAGCAGCAACAACACAGTAGCGGCAACAACATCTAAATCAGCAGCGGTGAAACAGCGACCAGCGGGAAAACCCACGGAATTGGTATACACACACTCATCCCTTAGATCACCCACAAACGACGTGAGTTTGCGGCATTCACTGCGATACGCAGTTTCTTCCCGGCCGTCATTAAGTAGACCGGCGGCTTGGCGGGGGGGTATTTGACACGGCCCGCGTCGCTTCGTTATACACGATGCCCCGCGACTCGTGCCACCTTTATCAGCCGTCGCCCTACTATGAGTATTTGACTGACCAACACCGCGTGTTATACGCTACGGTGCAAAGTCCAGCAAATGCCGCACGGCCGACGACGACCCGCCGCAAATGGTGCGAGAGTCTTCCTCCCGTTGTGAAAGCGACAACGTCGACAGCCGAACCGCACCCGCGCACCGTCGCCTACAACGCTGCTAACCATTTTGCCGTCCAAGGATTACGCCGAACATCGCGTCGTCGACGCCAGCGAAAGTGCCGCGATATTATGCGAAGATTATTATTACTGTGTTTATCTTTTCGGTTTGTTTTATTTTTGTTAACATAATCTGTTGTCGCTCATTTAATAAACGGCCCACGGGTCTCTACCCTCAAAACCAGTGTCGACCACATTTTTGCGACGCAAGTCGTGTCATAGTGTAGTCAATAACAATGAGGTAAAATAAGTATTTATAGTTATTATTAATATTTTATACAATTATTTCTATTATTTAGAGGGTTGGCAACCTTTTTTTGTATACATAATAATTATTAAAAATCTGCTCATAAAATATAATACGATATATATTATATCATCCTATAATATCAGTGATTCTTTTAACTCTGGTCAATCGATATCTTTTAATATAGTTATTATGTTAAGATAAATATTTTGGGTATTTTTTAGTTTCATATACTTCTTCATTTATGAGTTACTAATTATATTTTTAATTCATTCATTATATTTTAAAAGAATTAAAATTTTTTTTTTTTATTACATATTTAACTATCTTATAACATAAAAAATAATTTAATTGAAAAATTGACTGGTCAATATCAACTTTTGGTCTAATATTATAGTAACTCAAAATAAATATAAATTTTGTTCTAAAGTAACTGAGCACGAAGACGATTGAGTTACTATATATTTATTAAATAAAATGGTACAATATAATTTTCTCTTGGGGTGATGAATACGAGGGTGAAACATAGAAAAACAAAGTGATGTCAGAACATTTATTAATATAATATAATAAAAATAATAATATTAATAATAATGTGAAATATATAATAAAATAAAAATTAAACATTAATAAAAATAATAAAAGATCGGACAAGAGCAGTGAAATATTAGAAAGTAAAATATTTTTTGGTATTTATTTAATTTTTATTAATGGTTCATTACCCAATAGATTGTTGGAGATTCGAAAGCATAGGTAAATTTTTTACATGCCTTATGTCATATGTAATGCAATAATATTTCAAGTAATCCAATGTTGATTATGGTATTAAATGCACTACGTATACGTTTACACTACACGTCATATAGTCAATATAATTACTTACGAAAACGTTTCAAATTTTAAATTATACGATTTAATTAAACAATATCTATGACTGATTTCACTTGTAAAAGATTCTAAACAATCTATATTTTATTAGAAGTATAATTTATAATCTGTCCTTATTATTTTTTTTACATTTGCTGAATAAGTGTTTTTTTTTGAGAGAGTATATTTTATTAAGAGATCGACACCAATATTTCTTAAATCTTCCTCTGGCCTGGCAAAAACAGGATTCAAAAATATTTATATCTATGTAAAAAATTTATCAAGGTGGAATTGTGTTGGCCCAATGTGTCCCGGCGCTAGCGCCTTGAAAGGATGCGGCACAATAATTACCAAGACAAAAATTAAACACTGTAATTATACTCGTAAGTTTCTCTGCGTTGTCTGCCGGCGCGATGTTAGTTAAAACAGAGACATTAGCGACGAGGCTAGCTACTTATTTTCTCAATAAAAAATTATGTTGATCCATACACTTTTTAATAAGTTAAAAATGTAAAAAATAAAATCGAGAATTTTCACACAATAATAGCATTCGGTAGAACTATTTTCACTATGAAGACAAAATAAAGTCCGAAATTTTTTGCATAATAAAGTGCATTACATTAGCTTTAATTTAAGATATATATAAAAGTGTCAGACCTTCCAGAACATTTTCAAAAATTAAGTTGAAAAAGTTAATTTTTTGTGAAAAAGTTGTCATTTTGAATCCCCCCCTGTAGGTAGGTAAAAAGTCAGATTTATAAAAAAAATATACCAAATGATAGGTAAAGACATCATGCATCTATAAAAAAAAGAATTATATTGATCCATACATCTTTCAAAAAGTTATAGCATTATAAAGATAAAAATATAAACAATAATTTGTTTACAAAAATCGTATTTTTTTATTAATTTTGATGTCTGTTTTCACCATGAAGATAAAATAAAGTCTGAATTTTTTTTTTTTCATGATAAAGTATATTACATTAGCTTTAATTTAAGATATATATAAAAGTGTCAGACTTTCCGGAATATTTTCAAAAGTCAAGTTGAAAAAATTAATTTTTTGTGAAAAAGTTGTCATTTTAAATCCCCCTTGTGGGCAAGTAAAAGGTTACATATAAAAAAAAATATACCAAATGAAAGGTAATGATATCATGCATCTACATAAAAAAAAAATTATATTGATTTGGTTGTTTTTAAAAAAGTTTAATTAAACTTTTAATTAAAATTAATTTACTAAAAAATTAGTAAAAAAAATTGAAAAAATTTCGAATATTAGCGATTTTTAAATTTGTAATTTTTTTGGAGGTTTCCCTCATTTACGGGGAACGAGGGATTTTTTTTTCAATTTTTGAGGGTAATGTCTTCGACAAGATACGATTTGTGATCTTTGGACGTATCATTAAAAGAAATCGGTTCGGTAAGAGCTGAGAAAAAGTGGTAACAGACACAAAAAAAAAACACATCTTAGTAAAACCAATACCTTCTCAGCTTCGCATCGAAGCTAAAAATTGCAAATGCTACAACATACGAGCCCTAGTCATAACTGTACTACTTGTGTAAAAAATTATCACGTATACTAAAAAATCATATTGACGAATGGAATTTTTGAATTATTTCTTTCAATAATTATTATTTTAAAGGAAATCGAATGGTCAGATTTAAAAGAATCAATTTGTGTATACCTTGAATTCATTTTTTATTTTTAACTTTTATAAAAATTTATTAATTTTTAAATTTTGACGTAAACTATAACATAGCATTAATTTTTGTGAGCAAATGTATCCCATAACAAATTATTACGTAAAAAAAGTAAAAACTGGTGTATTTAATTTGAGAAGTATTAAATATATTGATAACATAATCAACAAGTTTAATTTTTGGAAATTAACAGGTAATTGAAACTTAATTTTTTAATCTTGCGTTTATATATTATTTATATGAATAGTAGAACTTAATGAATTAAACATTCGGTTTAAAATCGATTACAGTTTATTTGGTTGTGCAGTTGTGATTATAAAAGAACGGTATATCGAATAAAAAATATTATAAGAACAACATTTTTTGAAATTTATTGCTATCATAGGATAAACACACTCTCTATGGACCCCCTTTACATTGCTTTGGTCATTTTATTATCGAAACTTTATAAATTATATTTAAGAATAACATAATGCGACATTATTTTGGCAGAGTTATGCATAAGAATAGTTCACTACTTACCATAAACAAAATACTGGTTTGCCATGGATGGGATTGAGTACATAGAGAGCGCCTTCACCATATCATTAAATAAAAAATCCTATTTCAATGGGATAACTAAAATATTAGTTTTTAAACTTTTAGTATATATAATTTTAGATTTGTTCAAGAAGGAGATTGTGTTTTTTTATGTTCTATTTTTATTCTGAGACACAGATTATTATTCTATATTAACATACATTTTTTGGTATTTCCTAAGATGAACCAGAGATAACTTCAAGCGACTTGATTAATATTATGACAGAAGCACTACAAAAAGAAGAAAATATTTTAAAAGAGTCCCTTTGTAGATATGATGTAAAAAAGAATGGCACCATTACAATAAAAGATGCAGAAAAAGTTTTCACGAATAATAAATGTTTTAAGGGTAAATTATTTGGTAATGAATTAAACAACGTACTCAATGTGTATACCGATCCTCAAAATCAAGTTAAATACAATGGTAATCATCATAACTTATTAAAAAGTATAAAATGTTTAAATTGTTAAACATTTTACAACAATTACAATGTCTTATTACATGTTTTTTGTATACTGTTTGATTATTGTTTAAATAATTTTTGAAGACTATTTTCAGAAAATTAATAATTGCTAATTTGAATATATATGTCAGAAACTTTCAAATAAACTACCCTTTTTTTTTTATTGATCATATTTGAACTTAATATGTTGACTCTGATTTAAAAACATTTTATGTTATATAGGAAATATCATTAAATTTTTTAAAGATTATAATATATATAAATTATTGTTATTATTAATTAAGTTTATAATACGGTAAATTCTTTAGAACCAATTATATTTGTATGTTTTTAAGCTTGAAGGGATAAGGGATTAGGTAAGTTGGTGGGTCAGGTATAAGTTGACAACTATTAAGTTAATTATTAATGAGTTATGATAAATATTGAACTAATGAATACAAATTTACATGCGGACACCTATTTTTTTTCATACAATTTATCTTAATATTTTATTTTAATTATAACAACTATTTTACAATTATGCAATAATAATGACTGCTAACATTTTTGTGTTGGATGAAATAATCGCTGCCTAGTTACACTTTAAACCATTATTTTGTAAAATTGTTCTATTCCACTTAATTAAGCCATGGTTAGGGTAGATCTTTTATAGTACGTTTACTATTGGGAATATCAGCTACTCGTCTATTGGTAATAATTTTACAATTATATTTTGTTTCAGAGCTGTTAGAAAATATTGTCAAGCATATTGAAGGACATCCTATTGAAGTTGATAATCAAGACACTAATGATTTCATAAAATTGTCGTTCCAATAATTATGTATAAGATAATTTTTAAAAAAATACTCGAAGTAGCTTATACTCATAGTTTATAAAATATAGTATAACTTTATTAAAATCATTTGTTGCATGATATATTTATTTTTAAATGTTTAAATTGTTATAAATAAATTGATGTTTGATTTACGTTCATAGAAATATTATGATTTATTATCACATTTCTAAGGGTAAGTAGCCATAGAGATACATAATCAAAAATATTATAATTTGTTATCCACAAGAATAGTTATAAAAATTATAAATTTAAAAAAGCAGAAGTTGTCAATTACATGATTATTAAAGCTATATGACTCAATTTATTGAATGACAATTCGCCAAGTTAGATCTCGTCTTAGATAATTATTTGCATTTGATAAAATAAAAATAAATAGAACCGGTTTGAAATTTATGAACACGCTCACAGCATCCGCCAGTAACAAACAAAAGCTAAAGTACTTATAATGTATGTATAGTATACTATAGCTGATTATAATATCTCTTAGATAATCTTTATATTTAAAAATGCCAATTATTAATTGTGGCAGCTTTATAAAATTATGTATATACACTTTTATCTGTTATCAGTTATTGTAAAACGTGTACTGGTATATTGTTAGTATTATTGTTGTTAGTCGTGCTGTACTATTTTCTTCTGACACTTTGATCGAATTACTGTAGTTTAATTATAAAAATGTTAAATTGTTGATATTATTTTTTATTGTAAAATTGTGTTAAATCTTTATTAATATTTCGCCACATCACAGAGAAGCTTTATTAATTACGTTTAGTGTATTGCACAATTCTTAAATTTTGTATGATATTATGTTTTACATAAATTTTGAGTTAAATTTAGTATTACGGGTACTTAACATTGACGTTTTACATTTCTACTATGACAAAAAAAAATTTTTTTTATTTATTGAAAAATATATAATTATTTGCACTTTAAAAATCCCACTTTAACTAATAATTATACATATTTATCTAAAAAAATACAATAGTATGTTAAACTTTATTAAAAATATTATTATCTTACAAAATATACTTGATAAAAACATGTTATTAAAAAATATTTATTACATGTAAATAATTCTCTTAAGAATAAAAATACTTGTCATTGGTTTTCTGTACCTAACCAAAATTTCAGCATTGTAACACTGTAAAATTACAGTTATTCTTAATTGTTTAAATAAGTCATAGAAACTTAGTAATTTTTATAATAAAAAATAATCGAGCTGATTAAATAGTATTATAAATGAAACACAGAACTCATTATTAGCAATACATTTTTCGCTGTGTCAGTAACTTGTACTGTGTCCTAATAAAAATGTTTTTAAAATATATTTATTTTACACAGTAAAACATTATTTTACTTTTAATTTTTAACTGCATGCTATTAATAAATAGAAAGTTATATTTATATTATTAAAAAAAAAAAGCCCCTCAAAACCAATTCTTTCGATAATTTTAAAATACACAAAATCTACAACACTACTCAAGATTTCACTCTCCGGGACTTAATCGGTTTTTTTTAATTAATTTGGGCTTATGAATATTTTTCATAAAATAATTAAATGACACTTAGAAATTTTAAAGTGAATTTTGTTTTGGTAAATCTTTTAATCTAAATTAATTTGTTTATTGAATTATAATATTTTATTTACTTATTTTTCTTATTGTGGAAATAAATGTGAAATAATAATTTAAACATTAAACTTTTTTTAGGTTTCTAAGGTTATTTTAACTGAAAGAATTACTTTAATAAATATAGTTTAAAAAAACTAAAAAACACGCTTTTAAAGCACATTGAACTAAAAAGTGTGTTTTTTTAAACTATATTTATTTTTCACTTTTTAGTTTCATGTTATGATAGTAGTTACTATCAATATCATGGTTGTAATGGGTAACGGGAAATCAGGGTTCGATTCCGGAGAGGGAGTCTGAGAAACGGCTTACCACACCCAAGGAAAGCAGCAGCAGGCCCATTCCCAGAACATGGAGGTTGTGACGAAAAATAACGATATGGGAATCATCCTTTGTAATCGGAATGAATACACTCTATATCTCTTAATGAGAATAAAGCGTGTTAATATATATTTTTAATAGTAATTAGAATATATATATATATACATATAAAGCGACTTAAGTACGTAAACGTATTATGCACTAGGTATAGCCTAGTTTTGTGGGCGGGCGGGGCGGGGGAACGTTATACTTGAGGCATAGATTAAATACATATATATATATATATATTACATATAAATACATGTGTATTTAATCTATGGTTGAACAGATCTAACTGACGACTCATGTAACTTATGATGCACATTACATTTTATACTTTTTTTTTTCTAATCAATTTTTACAATATTGGACTATATTTAAAATATGTCTGTTGTTATTTTTCGCAATTACAAAAAACATTTTAAAAATAAATTTTTGTTTAAGATTTGAAGATAGCCATTTTATAGAAAAGTTTTAAAGAAAAATTTTGGTACCACCAACTTTTATTTTAATTCAGTAGTTAAGTTTATACAGTATTTTGAAGTGAGTTAAATTTTTTTACGATTTTTCTACGGTACCACACATTAATCATCATATGAGAAAGACGCAGTAAACATTGTGTTTTTATGTTATTTACTGTTAAAATTTCGCGATTTATACTCTATGATAGATATTAACACTTGAATAAGCATCTATAGTTGACATGAAAAAACAAGTAGTACACCCAAAGAAAAACCTCAATCAAAATTGAAAGAGAAATTTTATCAAGGGTTTATGATAATGTTTTATTAATACGAACAAAATAACTATTCTTATAAATAATTACTGTTCAAGACAAGAAAAAAAAATATCATATTGATAAATATATCATTGATTCAATAGTAATGATATATTTATCAAATTGAACAATGAATTTATTATATAGATCGAGGTTTTTCTCTGGGTGTAGTAAAACTAAGTTTATTAAAAAAAATCATAAAAACGTTGTCTAAAACATGTTATAATAAGTAATAGCAAACACAATAGTGAATAATTGAATTTATTATCATATCTCCTAACAAGTAATATCCTATAATGATATGATATCAATGATAGACTCACGCAAATAATACAGTGGAACCTCATTAATCCGGACCTCATTAGTCCGGACAGCTGTCTAAAATATTACGAAAAACACGCAGTTTATACCGTAGACTAAAATAAACATAAAATCAAGTTCCTCGAATTTCCCATAAGTTTTAAATCCTGTAAATACGTACCTTATGTCNAAATAAACATAAAAGCAAGTTCCTCGAATTTCCCATGAGTTTTAAATCCTGTAAATACGTACCTTATGTCCTATGTCACGTAATCATATTTTAAATACTATAACCAGTGGCGGCTCGTGGCTTGAACGACGCGACGATCGCACCCCCTACTAAAATTAATTAAAAAAAGATTATTAAATGTATGTTCTTAATACTACATTTTTATGAAAAATAGCTATAATACATTTGTCGTGTGCGAACATTAGAGTTGTTTGCCTCAGTATAAGCGAGTTCGCGTACACACACAAGCAGTGTTTGGACGACCTACAGCGTCGTCCGAATAATATTTGAAACGTATATTATAAACGAGGGGGCCCAATCGTGTGCGTGCGGGTACGGTTAAGCTGCAATCTTATAATAATAATAATATCTTTATTAAGGAAAAAACTCCAATTACAATTTATATATAAATATGATAACAGTAGAGAACACGTAACAATCAAATCACAAACTAATACAAGTAAATTTATATTATAGATTATTAATTTTTATTATTCAATGTATAAAGATCTAAATTTATCGATATTACTACAATCGAAAAAATCCGCACCAGTCCTATTACCCGCCAACATTAAAACAATAATGGGAGAAGATTCAAATATTTTTTTTTTTTATTATTATTTACGTAGAATAAATCTTTAATTCGGGTGCTAATTTTAGGTATTTTTAATTGTAAATGCTCAAGAAGGAATTAGCAATCAATGTCACCATTAATAAGTTAATATAAAAACACTAAATTTTGACTGTTCCTTTTATAACCTAAAGTATTAATATCAAAAAACCCTAAAACTCCATCGTAGCCAGAATGGGGTATCTTTTCAACCCTACATTTAAATGATAAATATCTTGGAAAATTATTTTGTATTGAATCTAAGACATGAAATTGTGTAAAAGAATTATTAAACCAAACAAGTGAAGCGTATTCAAGGCGAGATCTTACTAATGAAAAATAAACTGCCTTAAATCTGCGCAAAAGAATTCGTGGCAACTTCTTTTTATGAAGTGTAAATAAGATTTAGCCTTTATTTTTATCTCATTTATGTGTGCATTAAAAGTTAGTTTCGTATCAAATGTAACTCCCAGATCTTTTACAGTATCTACTCTTTGAAGAAGATAATTGTTTAAAAAGTATTCATGCAGTATGGGGTATTTTTTAGTGTAAAGGATAAGATTGAGCATTTTTCTATATTGTGAGTCATACCATTATCGTTACACCACTTAAGAAATTATGAATATCAGTTTGAAAGCAAATAGCATCGGAAATAGAGTTAATGGTCATAAATAAGGTTTTGAGGTCTTAATTAATTATAAATGCGAATTGTTGGACTTATTTGAGGATCTACATATAGGCGATACTCTAAATCTGTAAAATAATCAGATTTTATATTGTAGTTAACTGGTTATTGTGTTTTTTAAATAAGGGAACGATGTTTTGGTGATCTTGTAAATTCATAATAAGTGATAAACATGTACAAATTATAATATCATAGTGTATCTAATATTATAATTGTAAACATAATGTTACATAATTGAAATCAATTCCTTACATATAAGTAGTTTAGATTCGATGAATATAATTAGAGCTAAGATACGATCATGGCCTTTTTTTGAGAATTTATGTGAAATAATTATAATTCTTGCCGAACACATTTTAACAAATGCCATTTTGAATTTTTTTTATTTATTTATTAAAAATCTTATAAACGTGTGCAAACAAATATATACAACATTCTGAAATTGTTTAAATTTTCAATAAAATTCTAATACCACGAGAGAACTAATCGGTCGTAATCGGTTTTAAAAGGCACGACATTTACTTGGAGGGAGTCCATCAAG